TCCAGAACATTTCCACTACCTCTGAGTGGTGTCTGAGTAAAATAAGTGTTGCCTCTCTAGCAGGCTGCTTCTAATCCAACTGTACAGGCTCTAGGATTTCTTTCCCATGTCTCTCTGATCTTAATTAGCACTGTAGGCATCCAGTGTTTATGCCTTGAGTAGGAGGATGTGGTTTGCTAATAGAAGAGAACTGCTCTAAGGGCTCTGCTGCTTTTCCTGGTGCTTGTTTAAACCAGCTTCCCACAGGGCAGAGGAGATCCCACAAACAGCAGGGAGGTGAGAAGGGCTGAGATGCCAGGAAGCAGAAGTAGGGCTGCCTGGGATCAGGACAGCTGGCTGAAATTTGGTGTGCAAAGTGGTATTCCTGACTTTTTTAAAAAGTTCACATTTTCAAAGGTGTTGTATTAGTCTTTTGCTTTGTTTCTGGCAAGTGACAGTGAAGGAAGTTCTTATCAAGGGTCAGGTGAATCTATGTGGGAAGTGGTTAAAAAAACAAGTATTGTGGAAAGTAACTGGGATTGTTTCTTGTTGTGGCCATGACTGAAAATTAAATTTTTGAAGGTGGCCAAGATGAAATAAAAATGGCAGGCAGAGGTTTGAATGTTAAACTTTCACTGATGGTACTTAGGAAGGAGTAGAAATTAATGCCTCCTGGAAATGGTGTCTGTGGCAAATACCTGAACACCCTGATGGATTGTTAAATGAATTCCTACCACCACTGATTGCTTTGGGTATTGTAGTAGAGTGGAGCCCAGTCCCTCTGATCTGGCTGTCCCTCCTCCCCTGGATTTTCCTGCTGTGGGATGGCAGATTTAGGCTGCTGAACATCCCACTGGCATACCTGGGACTTTGTACTGGCCTTGTAGGGCTGTCTCTGGGTTAGGAAAGGAACAATGAACACCTGCAAGCAAAAGCTGTCTGCTGACAGGTTCACAGCACAGCCAGATTCTTAATAGGTTTCTGTCATTAAGAAATGTTTAGTCTTTTGAATGTGGAAATTATTTTCTGTATGTAACTGATTATAAAACTCCAAGTATGTGTCAGGTGGGATGTGTATGTTTATTAATCGAGCCTATCTAGGGTAAAAAACCTACTTATTTTGTAGAAGGGCTCTTGTTTCCTCTTTGGGAGCTGTAGTTCCTTTTGGGCATCAGAGTTCCCAGTGGGTTGCAGTGCACTCAGCAGGGAGCTGTTTCAGGAATTAGATCCTTTCTGAGAAGAGAGGAGCTTTAATATTTTATCTGATCCTGTTGGTTTTACCACTTCGCTCATCAGGTTGGCAAACTTACCTTGATTATGTGAGAAGTGCTAATGTATATCAGCTGCACAAGGAGCTACAGAAACTTCCCCCAAAGCCTCCTGTGCTGGTAATTCTTGTTTCTTTTGTGATTCAGGGGCAGTGTGAGCTGAATGACTGTGAGCAGCTAAGGAGAATCAGGCAGTGCCCGATGGGGTGTGAGCAGTGCAGGCTGTACGTGACCCTCAGGAAGGTGGAGCCTGGATCCTGCCCAGTGCTGGGACTGTCCCCAGGCAGGGACATTCAGCACTTGCTCAGTCAGCAGACTGGGACACACACCAGCTGCAGGAGCTTCAGGCTTAAAATGTGGTGTTAACCCAGCACAGCTGAAACAAACAGTTAGTGAGCACAGCAGAGGATCTCTAGTGGAGATTATTCCTGATTGCATGAGGACTGTGCTCAGATGCTGGAGTTCTTTGAGATTATTATAAGCATGGATATAGGGAGGTTCAGTGGGCACAAGTTGGGCTTTGGTGTTTCTGATAGAAAAATATAAACTGAGTTGACACAGGATGTGAGGAAAGCTGCTGCTGGGAGTAGGAAGAACAGGAGGCAAAGGGTAGGGCTTAGTAATTACCTTTCAGGTTGGAAAAATGAGCTATGGGAGATGTTAGGAGGTGGTTTTATTCAGTGCCTTTTTCTGTGACCTGGAAAAGGTAATGAACAGTGAAGTCTCCAGTTTTGTTGGTGATATTACCTCTTTCAAGTAGTCAAATTGTGCTGATGGTGGGAAAATCTCACTGCCAGAAGGACTCAGCTAAATGAGGCAGGATAATCCCTGTGTAAGCAAGTGTAATGAATCTGGGGGGGGGGAACCCCTAAAAACTAAACCATGGCAGCCTTGTATTCAGCTCTGTGCTGGGGATCAACCAGGATCTGCCTTGAGTCTTTCCCCTTGAAATTCTTTGAGGTGTTTGGAGGTGCCAGCAAAATACTGAATGTCTTCAGGGAGAGGATGGAAAATAACATACTGTTAACTGTAAACAATGGTAATACCCCTGTGTCTTGAATTGTCTACAGTCTTTGACACATAAAGAGCAGGGGGTTGTAGGGGAGGTCACAGGGAAGATGAAGGAGTGCAGTGGCTGCTGTGTAAGGGGAGATTGGAATAGTTGATGTCTTGAATTGTCTACAGTCTTTGACACATAAAGAGCAGGGGGTTGTAGGGGAGGTCACAGGGAAGGTGAAGGGGAAGATGAAGGAGTGCAGTGGCTGCTCTGTAAGGGGAGAAGGACATGCCTGTTCAGTTTGGAGAGAAGGCTGGGGGAGGAAAATTGATCAAGATCTACTAAATCGTGAAGCTTAAGCTGAATGTGCAGCAGTCCTTTGAATTCTCCCAACCCAGAATTAGTGAGAGGAAACAATGGGGTCTGTTGAAAACAGGTGAGGTTCATCTTTAGCACCAATGTCAGGGGCTGCTTGGTGCTGATTGGGGCCTTTGGCTCAGAACTGATCAGGCTAATCTGTAAAAATGTGAGATGCTAGTGTACTTGTTGTACTCAGTTGTCAACAATGCAAATACTTTAATTGTTTGCTCCAGTATCTAAAGTGCTTCCTGTGAAGAATTCCTTCTGTGCCCTGTCTTCACTTGTGGTTTGCTCAGAAGGATTTAAAATAAACTACCATGTGCTCTCCAGGGAGTGTACAATCAGACCTCCCCATGCATGGCTGTTCCCTGCTGTGTCCTGTGTGAAGCCTCAGAAGTGTGTCAGATCCTTTTCCCTCCAGTTAGGAAATTGGGGATGCAGTTTGAGCTCTTGCTGGTGCTGCTGTGGCTTCCAGCACCTGCTCAGACCTGAGTGACAACACCACAGTCACAACACTGACAGATTATATGCAGAAGACTTAAGCCTTAAGCTGCTTGTCATTTAAAAAAATGAATTGCTGGTGTCCCCTAATAGCAGCTGGCTGAATGTGGCTCTTGCTGAAGGCCTGAGACTGAGCTGTAAGGCCTCAGATTTGATCTGAGAAACACTTCTGAGGGCTGAGTCTGCCCTGCCAGCGGGTGACAGCATTGGAGTGTGTCTGTGCCCCTGGACAAAACTGACAGGAGCCGAGCTTCCGTCTGAGCTAGCCAAACATCTGGCTCTCATCATCCACATCAAACACTTTAAAAGCTTCTTTTCTTCTAGAAAACACTGAGGCTGATGTAGAAGCTGCCCCAGGTCAGAGTGAAGAAAAGTCCCTGCCTGCTGCACCTGTTCCTAGCCCAGTAGCACCAGCACCTGCACCCTCCAGGAGAAATCCACCCGGTGGCAAGTCCAGCCTAGTGCTCGGTTAAACCTTTCCCTTCCTGACTGTTTTGAACTCGTGTCTGTTTTCTTTCCCCCATGCTTGTGAACTGCACAACTTGAGCCTGACTGTACATCTCAAATTTCTTTCATTAAAAAGAAGCACTTTATGTACTCCATCTTTTTTTTTTTGAAATTAAGGGTTTTTTTCCACTTCTGTCCTTTGTTTCCCCCAGATCTACTGGAAGTGACATGAGTGTTTTCTAGTGATAGACTTGAGGGAAAGCTTTATGAAGTATTGTAATGTAATTCAAAGGAGAGTAGCTTGGTTCTAAGTGTGCTTAGAGGGTTTTTGTACTGAGGTTTTTTTTTTTAGAACCCCTTAGCTTTACAAGGGTCTAGAATTCTGGTTAACCAGGCCAGCAAACAATCAGCAAGAGCAGTCCCTTCCTCCACATGTGGGGTTTAGGTATCTAAAAGGCTTCATTGACTGCATGTGGTAAATGCCTTTAGCCCTGCTGTGCCATATAAATCATTAAGTGGTTAATGTACACCATGCTGCCTTTAAAAACAAAACAAATCTTGATACTGGACTACTATGACACAGGGTCTGTGCCAAATAGAGGGCTGATGACCAGAGCCACCTGGCCTAGTGCTGGGAAGGGGCTGATTCAGACTTTATTCAGTAAAGGTGGAGTGGATCATATAAATAAGAATTACAGGGCATTTTTTTTTACAACTGACTCAATGCTGTGCATGATCATGCTGGTGCTTGACCATGAGGTGAAAATCTCATCCTTTAAAGTGTGTGTTGTAATTTCACAAAGCTGGATTGTTGCTTAAAAGTAAATAATATAGAAATTTTGAAGCAGTGTTTCCTGTGTGGGTTTTATTTCACGGGTTTGGTTTTGCTTTGTTCTCAGTTGTCCTTGTGTCATCCAACCTTCCCTGCTCTAACCAGAGGAGAGTTCTTACACCTGGCTTGAGGTCACCACCATGTGCTGGCTTCCCCTGAAGAATTTGATTTATCTCTTCATTTTTGGCTTCTAGATCAGAGATCTGTGGGATATGGCTTGATATCTATTATGGTTTATCCAAAACACTGGTTTTTTTTCTCAAGAAAACTGAGACAAGTTTATTTTCTTCATTAACAAGAAAAAAAACCAGAGGACCCTAAAAACTGAGAGGGTGGAATTGAAATCAAGCCATGAAGGGCTCTGCTGCCCAAAAAACCACAGCAGAGCATCTCTATGGAGCTGCTGTGTCTGCTGGTGCATTTTCCACCCTTCTCCAGGAAGAACCGGTGCCTGAAAGCACCCTGGCTTTCCAAATCGCTGCCGCAGAAGCCCTGCCCTGGGGTGCTGACCCCACCGAACCGGCTTTGCTCTGACGTGCTCCTCTGCCCTCCCTCCGGGATGTTCCCTGCGGCTGATGTGCACCGTGCCCTGCACGGACAGCGTGGGGAATAACCATGAATTAATATTTCCTTGGCAAGCCCAGGGGAGCTCGTTAATGCTCCTTGGTGGCTGCCGAGGCTCCAGTGTGCTGCTTTCTCCTCGGGCAGCCGCGTCCCGGTCGCTGCGGGGTCCCCAGGGGTGGCATTTTTGGGCTTTTCCTCCGTCGCTGCTGGAGCCCAGCCCTGTTCCCACGCGGGGCCGCCCTCCAGGCGTTCCGCCCCGCCCCTTCATGCATATTCATATGATTCATATGCATATGCATGAGCGCTCTGCCGGAGCCGGGCTCCGTGCTCGGCATGGGCAGCGCGGCCGCGCCGCTGCGGGTGCTGCTGGACATGGACGGCGTCCTGGCCGACTTCGAGGGCGCGGTGCTGCGGGAATTCCGCCGCCGCTTCCCGGCGGAGCCGCGCGTGGAGCTGGCGGAGCGCAGGGGCTTCTCGGTGCGGGAGCAGTACCGCAGCCTGCGGGAGGAGCTGGCGGTGAGTGCGGCTGCGGGGCCAGCACGGCCTCCCCACCCCTCTGGAATCCTCTCCCTGCCCGCCGGGCTGTGCCAAGCTCAGCCTGGGACCCGAGTTTTTAAAAAAAAAAAACTCTTAAATTACCTGCGGGGGTTTTTTTTGTCCGTGTATACCTAGGTGGGATTGGTTTAAGCAATACCTGAGCAATAAGTCATGTTTGTTTCTGGAAGATAATAACCGAATTCATGGCTACTCACTATATTTACGGGTTCCTAGTTCCAGGAACTTTTGACCATCAGTAGTCATCGATCAGAGCTCTGGCAGTTTGCAGCCTGTGGAAATGCTGACTGGATTCATACTCCTGTTTATCAGCCAGTGGCAGGAGCCTGTACTTCTGTGTAGGACAGGAGGGAAATGAAATTGTCATTTCTTAGCAGTAAAAAGCCCCAGGCTCAGTACATGTTCTTAAAATGAGCAATAAACTTCTAGGGAGAGTGTTCAGCACAGCTTGGATCAGCATCTGTTCCATTTCCTTACAGAGTCCTTGGCTGTCCTGTGGTGACCAGAAGGAAGGGTGAAGTCTGGATTTACAGTATTTCTAATTTTGTCTTGCAGACCTCTCTGTTACTCATTCAGCCATTAGCAAACATTAAAAATGGCAGCAGTTTGCATGGATGGAGGGTGTTCCAACAGCTTTCTCCTGCTGTTCCTGATCTCTTACCTGCCATGCACTCGGCTTGTCAGGGCATGCAGAGGGACTGTGGATACAGGATTTCATTCTGTACAAACTCAGACAGAACATATGTAGTTCTTGTCCTGCTGTGGGGCCGTGTGAGCACGTGCAGAGCACTCAGGGAGCTTTGAGTAAGTTATTGCTCTGCTGCAAAACAAGAACAGGAACATGAGCAGGTAAAGAAGAAGATGGTTCAGTGAATGGTTTCACGGCAGAATTCCCACACACATCTGTCTGTAAAGGGCTGGCTATCCTGGAAGAAGTCACTGATTATCAGTACACAAATTAAGGCTGCATGAAACACAAAATTATAAATACTGTGAATCCAGACTTCACCCTTCCTTCTGGTCACCATGGGACAGTTGAGTTCCGTACAGGACTCTGTAAGGAAACTGCTGACCCAGGCTGTGCTGAACACTTTCCCTGAGAAGTTCATTGCTCATTTCAAGACCCTGTACTGGGCCTGGGAGTTTTTACTGCTAAGAAATAACAATTCACATTCATTTCACTCCTGTTCCATAGTGAGGTAAAGCCTCCTGCTTCAGAGTAAGGGGCAGGAGTGCTGGCTCCAGTCAGCATTTCCACAGGCTACAAACTGCTGGAGTTCAGATCGATTTACTGATGGTCAAAAGTTCCTGGAAGCAGAAACCTGTCAGTAGACATCAATTTGGCTATTACATTGCATAAACAAAAATGATTTTTTGTTTGAATGAGTATTCCTTAAACGAATCCCGTGGGGGGGAAAAAAAATGTTGCAGGTAATTCAAGGGGTCATGACTTCTTATTTTTTTCTTTTTTGGAAGAGCTACAATCTGATCTATGAGAAAATTGCCCTTTGTTCTATTTCTGGAATCCTCATTCCCTAATTTGGTTCATGCTCATCCTGTTCTTCCCCAGACCTTGGGTGTGGCAATGAAATAACCAGATAACTGGTTTGGATCCCAGCACACCAACAGTGGCAGAAAGCTCTTATCTTGCTGTTCTAGCATGACTTCTTAAGGAAATAAGCTTTGTGGAGCTGTGCTGTGTGTCTGTCTCCTTCAGTAATCTCTGGAGCTTTGGGCTGGTTTAGGTATCTTTGGCAGAACAATAAAGTTATAGTTTTAAAGATATGAGGCTCCTTTGGGTTTTACATAAATTCCATCCATTCCTTTAAAAACAGAGTCCTTGTTTGTTCTGCTATGGCACTCTACAGAGTGTCTGTGGGACAGGAGAATCCCTGTGGAAAGTCTCTCCTTGGCTCCAGCTGCAGGGAAAGCTTTGGCAGGAGCCAGCAGCCCACACAGGGCAGTTTGTGTGTCCATGCAGGGAAACGGAGCCTGCAGGTTGTCAGTGCTGGAAGAAGGGGCTCAGCTGGACACCAGGGGCTCAGCTGGACACCAGAGGGTCAGCTGGACACCAAGGGATCAGCTGGACACCAGGGGGCAGCTGGACACCAGGGGGTCAGTGGGACACCAGAGGGTCAGCTGGACACCAGGCTCTTTGTGGCAGATCAGGTGTCTGTCTATGAATTTCAGGGTGTGAGATATTCTCGTGGCAGGCCCTGGGAAGTGCTGTGATGATGATTTATGCATCACCTCTTCCTGAGTGGTGTTCATGCTTAGTTGGTGCTGAGCAGCTGCCCCTTGAAACTTGAGCTGTTGCTTTGGTTTTGTTTCTGTTTTGATTTTGCAAGTTGATCATTAATTTCACATTGTAAATCCATTTTATTTAGAAGGGCTTCTAATCTATTTTATTTTGTTGAAGATTTTTTTCACTGCACTTGCCTACCTGCCCTCCTGTGTGTGTGGCCATTTTGTTGGTGGGGATTTATCTCCGTGTTTCCTGGCCCCAGGCAGTTTCAAGAAAAGGATTCAACATCCCCACCAGTGGTAAAATTTTTTTAAATTATTTTGAAGTCCTGCAAATGGGACAGCATAGGGACAGATGTAGTCCCTCCAGTTCTGTATCCAAATTGTTATCTTACTAACGGAAGTTAAAAGGAAACGTTCAGCATTGGTGGCATGAACATGAGGAAAGAAAATGGTTTTACTTTCTTTTTCTAGTCAGTTTTTTTTATGAGAGGAAATGGCTTCTGGTTCCAAGAGTCATCAAATCAAATTTCTTTCTCCAACTTTCTCCAAAGTCAGACTTTTTTGTGATGTGGTGGAAACTTGCCAGTTTCTGTTGTCTTGCTGAAGGATAAAAGAGCTTTCAGACATGAGCCCTAAGTGTGTAATTCAGTCTCCTTGGGAAGAGCTCCAGGGAATTGTTGCTGGGATCAGGGAGGCTTTGCATGGAAAGAGAGATCTGGGCAGATCTGATTGCCATGTCTGAACGTAGACAGGCTGCTTAACCTCTTCTGATCTGCGTGTGAAATCAGGCAGTGCTTCCAACTTTCCTGCTGTTGATTTGTGAGTATTTGTAGGTGGTGATAACTGAGTGAGCTTCAGCATCTGGGAGTCTGGTTTAATGCTGACTCTTCCTCACTGCTGCTTAATTGAAATGGGTTTTTGTTGATGTTCCACGGATGCAGAGCAAGGAGACCTTCAGCTGGGGTCTAAAGAGCTGGACACTTCTGAGCAAAGGCTGCAGCCTGCCTTTGAAGAATACTAAACAAGAATTTAGTTTTCCAAACTGTTCAGTGGCATGGGAATGTATGCTTTAATGCTTGTGGAATAATGCTGCTTTGACACCTCTGAAGTTCACGATGTGACCCCAAGGAAGTTAAGATTTGTGTGTCTCAGGGTAAAGAGATATTGGAAGCTTAACCTCTCTGTCTGAAGGTGAAACTTAGGTCTGGAAGGGGCCTCAGCCCTCGGTACTGCTGTGGGTCCTTTGCCAGGATGAGATGTGGGATAAGGAAGGGGAGAACCCATCAGCTGTGACCTGCTGTGAAACACTCATTTAACACAGGCCACTGAATAGTAACCAGGGAGCAATTCTTAAAATTAACTAACCAGAGCTGGATTCAAACCAGTAAATTTCCTAATAATAAAAGACGTGAAAATGTCTTACCTGTAAATTAAGAAGAAAAAGGACTGGAAGGACAGTCTTACCTGGAAATTGCCCTGGAGATACTGCTCTTCCTTTCAGAGATTAAAGATACCACTGTACTCTATCATATTAAATACCTTTTTGTCCCATTTTTGGTTACATTAGCCTGGGAGAACATTGCTCCTCCAGAAATCTTGTTTCTTTCTATTTACACTCACTTAAAAATGATTCTACCTTTCGAGCTAACCTCCTTCACCCCTCGTTTATCATGGATTTCCTCTCTGGTTCCTGTGGTATCCCACCTGCCTGTATGGAAGGCGGGTTTGCACCGAGAGCAGGTGCAGACACAAAAGGGACAAAGCCCTTAATCACAGAGCTCGGCCCAGTGCTGAGCCAGGTGAGGGGGGCAGTGTCCCACAGCACCCTCAAACCCAGCCCAGATGGAGCTCATGGGCTGCACAGGTCACCTCTCACAGAGGCAGAAGTTCTTGGGGAAGCACAGGGATCGCCTCTGAACTTCCTGCTGAAGTCTCAGACTCTTTGGAGCAGACTCATGGCCTCAGGGGAGCAGCTCTATCCAGGCTGGAGCCAAGGCCACCTGCTCCTTCAACAGTATTTGATGTGGGTGGTTGAAAATCGAAAAGCCACGAAGACATGGAGCTTTCCCAGCACTCTCACCTTCATCCTTCCCTCCTGCTGGAGGGATTCCCCCCAGGTGTGGCTGTGCTGCCTGGCCATTGGCACGGCCACCTCTGTACCCTGTTTGCTCTGAAGGAACAGGAGGCTGATGGCCAGTGCCTGTGTCTGCCCACCCATCTCGGTGAATTCCTGAGCCCTCAGCTAATCTCAGCCAAATGTGACAGAGGAGGAGAAGCCTCCAGTTTGTTCCTTTGGTTTTCACCAGCTGGAAAGACAGCTGCTGGGAAGGGGTGGGGTGGGAGCTCTGCCTCCCTCAGCCCCCCCAGAGACTCCAGTGGCTTGGGGCTGGTTGTGGGAGCAAAGCCAGGCCAGGGGCAGCTCTGCCTCCTCATGAGCCACCAGAAAGTGACTTCTCCTTCTTGTGTGCCCAAGCTGGACCTTTTCCAGAACCCAAAGGTGAGATATTGTATAATCCACTCCTGGGGGGAAGCACCAGGCTGTTACACAGGGGGTGACTGGAGAGTGCTGTGACAGAGCACAGCCGCTGCTCATCGTCCTCTTTCTCCTGCAGGCCAAGGTAGCCAGTGTCTATGAGTCACCTGGCTTCTTCCTAGACTTGGATCCAATTCCAGGAGCCCTGGAAGCTGCGCAGGAGATGCTCCACATGCAGGAGTAAGGACACTTTGCACCCTGCAGCCCTTCTCCAGGATCTAACACACTTTCCCCTGACAAAGGCTGTTTCCTGTTTATTTTCAGTACTGAAGTCTTCATTTGCACCAGCCCTCTCCGGAAGTACGAGCACTGCATCGTGGAAAAGGTGGGAGAGAATAGGTTTTATTGGGTTTAATGCTGCTTTTGCAAGGCCTTGCTGTTTCATACTACCCAAGCTGGAGCAACTCCTTTCTAGAGACAGTAGCTGCTCCAGCTGCCAGGCTTCCCCCAGTCTCTGTCTGAGGGATAGGTTCTCACACACAGAGCAGTAACTCAGGACAGGGAATCTCCAAGTGCCACATGTTGCCAGAATTGCTGTGGAGCACGTGAGCCCTGGGCTCTTGGAGCTGGGCTGGGACCAGCTGTGTCAGCAGGTGACAACAAAGGAACTGTTGTAGTGTGACCCACAGGGATGGGATATTCCCAGGGGATTCTACTCTGGAGAACCACCAACCAACAAAACCTACTTCAGTGTAAATCTGGAGCCTGAGATGTCCCAGAAGAGGTCAGTGCTGTGTTGAGGGGGTTGTAGTGTTGGAATAAGTCCTTTGTGCCTGTGGCACAAGAATGGAAGGGGGGACTTTGGTCACTGGAATGACTTAGATGGGTACAGCCCACATGCTCTGGGCAAGCAGCCAGTGCTTCTCACAAACTCAACAGTTGGGCACAGCCAGGGCAGTGCTGAGTGAAGGCTGTCACACAAACAGGTTTAATCAGCACCCTGGGCCACAGCCAGTCTCCATGTGGGGATTCCTAGACACAGATAAGGTTTACAGGGGGAAGAAATTGCTCTATTAGGGCTGGTCTGACAGGAGTGATGTGCACACTGAGAGCACAGCGGGATTTTCTCCCGTTCCTTGTCTCTGCAGTATCAGTGGGTAGAGAAACACTTGGGACCCGAGTTCGTGGAGCGGATTATTCTGACCCGAGACAAGACCGTGGTGGCTGCTGACCTGCTGTTCGATGACAAGGACACCATCCAAGGTTTGAACAGCACTTCCATGCTTGGCTGCTGGCTGGGGAGCCACCCCCCCGCTGATCCCAGCTTTTCCCCCTTTCCCACAGGCGCGGAGCCGAACCCGAGCTGGGAGCACATCCTGTTCACCTGCTGCCACAACAGGCACGTCCAGCTGCCGGCCCCGCGCCGGCGCCTGCGCTCCTGGGCCGACGACTGGAAGGCCATCCTGGACAGCAAGCGCAGGCAGTAGTCCAGGAAGGGCATGCTGTGCTCTTCCCGCTGCCAGGAAACAACCAGCCTACCCCTGCCATGCCCAGGAGGCACTGTCACTGCAGGGATCATGCAAGACATGAGCTGCTCCTGTCAGACACGGTGCTCTGGGTTTCTGGAAGATTGCTCTGCACTGTTAATCTGTGTAGTGTTTTGGATGTTTGCTGTTGGAGAAGAGAAACTATAAACTACAAGCAGCTGTGGTTGGATTTTTGTGTGTGTTTATCGTCACTCCTGTTTGGTTTGTGCTGTCTGGGGGCAGAGGAGGGAGAGAAAAAGAGGAAGAAGGCTTTCAAACATGAGCAGATCCAGTGTGGGTGTCTGTCAGGAAGCACTGGGCTCAACAGTAAAACCTTTTAAATTTTATGCATTTAGCCACCCTGGTTATTGGGTTTTCTCTTGCCTCATGGCTGATAATGAAGAGAGACTAGGCTGACTTCGATTTCTTGGCCCGTGTGCTTCTCACACAGAACTGATTACACAGCATTTAAGTTAATGTTTTATTAACAGAAGCTTTTACAAGACAGCTGTTCTCGTGAGCCAGACTACCATGAGCCCCCCTCTTTTTTTTTTTTTTTAAATTACTTCACCTTTCTCACCAGTGGTAATAAAAGACAAACTTACCACTTCATTTACAGGGCAGCTACAACCTGCCCTATGTAGTGATTCCAGAGCTGGCTACCTGTGCCATGATTAGAGGATGGCATAACTAGTGCCACAGGGCTGGAGACTGTGAACTGCCAGGGCAGGGAAACTCCTTTCTCTGCAGGAGGAATACATTTCTGTGACTTGAGCTGACACTTAGTGTCACTTGTCACCCACACTGAAGGGGAGAGGTGTAGCACAACCAGCCAGGAACCGGACTGGATACAATTCTGCCCAACAACCTGAGCAGAACACCCCTCATTGCTGGGAAGGGTTGTTTGTGCAAGCTGGGTGCCGAGCTGCACTTGGCAAAGAACTTTCCACTGTGCAGCCATGACCTGCTTTATTTTAAATATTTGCAGGCTTAGCTGTGTGCTTGGCCCAGCTGCCGTGTTAGTGCCGTTCCATCGTGTTTGTTAACTAAACACCGGCAGCGGTGGGACCAACTCAGGTCTCTACTGCTGCTCTTGGCCTGCTGAGCAGAAAGTGACAACAGCAGGAGGCTCCCCTCTCAGTCCTTGGGCAGAGGAATGCCCACTGCCGTGTGCTTGCTGAGGTTCCTGGCCTCCTCCACCTGCGCAGGGCTGCAGTAATCCTGCAGGAAGATGGATGCCAGGTTACTGAGGCGCGCGTTGGCCGAGAGCGAGAAGCGGAGCATGCACTCCACCACGGGCAGCGCCGTGGTCTGCGCGCGCGACCGCGGAGTCGTCAGGAACATCAGCGTGGTCACAGCCGACACCACGGTCTCCTCGTTGGAGCTGGACAGGCAGTTGATGATGGGCTCCACCCCGTTGGCCTCCAGGATGTACTCTTTGTTGGTTTTATCCAAGCACAGGTTGCAAAGACCACCTGGAAGGGCAAGAGGAAAGCGTCTGAGGTGATGCAGGTTCACCGCTCATCCCGTTTCTAACATCCACATCTTCTGCATGGATGGAAAATTCCTAACGATTCCCTAGGCCACGCGTTTTTGATTGTTTCCAATGGTTTTCCACCAGCACACTCCTCCTGTGTGTCATTAGAGGGCACTGTTACTGCTGCACATAACCGCTTCCACAGAAGGATTCCAGGAATGCCCACTCGTCCCTAATGGAAGACACAACCCAGCAGTTTATTGCAGGTGCTATAGAAAGCCAGAGAATGGAGGTAACAGAGTTAGTAGCCAAGAAGCACAGAATGTTTGAAACTTGAAGCTTTGAAATGCAGCCATAAACCTTAAAAATCAAATCCATTCAGTATCACCTCACAGAACCACTCACAGCATCTGGCCCTTTAGCTTACGTTCAGACCATGAAAAATCATGGTAAGGCACTTAAAAGATTTATTAAAATTGCCAAGTAAGTATTATAGAAGATCAGTTGCCAAAAGCAGAATGGTTACATGGATCTGGCACAATGTACCTGGCAAAATCTACATATTAATGACTGCTTCTTTACAGGAGAGATTTCAGTAAAAAATTAATCAGGCAGTGTTTAGGAAAAAAACCCTCTAAATCCTTTTCAGATAGCGTCTTCATTAAGCTCTGTAAGGACATGGAACACAAGCCTGCCTCTGACTTCTCTCCCATTCTGCACTAAAGGAGGCTTTATCAGCACAGCGTGAGTTAGTTTTTGGAGCCCTGTGTGCATTTGGGGCGGGTTAAGGACCAAAGCGAGCGAGGCCCGGTGTCCCCTGCCCAGCCGACAGCTGAGGGTGCCCGCGGCAGGATTACCCATGGCAAACTCCACCAGGCTCTCGTTGTCCTCGGTAAGCATGTCGAGGAACAGGTCCAGCACCTGGAGCTGCCGGAGATACTCGTAGTTGCTGGGATCGTAGGCGAAGTTGGCCAGGTTCGCCAGCACCTGCTCCTTGGCCTCTGCAAGGGAAAAGGGAAAAGGTCGGGGGTGTGAGGAAACGCTCGACACGGAGAGGGCGAGCGAGCAGCGGCGTTTGTTACCTGTGCTGTCCGTCACCTGGAACTCGGTGACGAGCGCCTGCAGGTACTCCAGCCGACCCAGTTCCATCGAGGGACACCGCGCCAGGCTGCCTGTTCCCCCGGCAGCGTCGGCTCAGGGACCGGGAGCACCGAGCAAGGGAGAGGAACTGGCCGCCGCCATTTTGTGGGCGGGACAGGGCGGCGCCATCTCCCCTCAGGAGGCGCGGGAGCGGCCGCCATTTTGTGGGCGGGGGGCAGGTGTGTTCCTCTCAGGCGGGGAGGTGGTGGCTGCTCCGTGTCTCTCGCTCTTTATAAACACATTATGTATAATTATATATTCTATATATAAAATAAATGAGCCTATGTCGATAGATTTGACTGTCTCATTATATGGCAGAGCTTTGCTGTTTAAACGCTTGGTTTTGCAAAGCAGCTAACCTTTCCCCACTGATTACTTACTCAAATGATTTTCACCTCTGTGTATGTTCTGCTGTTCCATCACAATGCTGTTGTCCTTGTGGTAGTGCTGCTCCTGATCAGTTCCAGTTTAAATAACGGGATTGCAATTCATGAAGCTGAGGGAGAAAAGGAAAAAACGGGGCACAATACTTGTGCAGTGAGGGAAATTATCTGGGGAAAAAAAATGAAACAAGGCCAGGGAGTCGACTAAAAGATCAGCAGGTGATTCCATCTTGGTTGTACAATGGTTTGGGCACAGAGCAGAGCAATTCCCTTGTCTTGAAGTAACATAGCTCAGTGAAACCACCACAATTTTACGTGCGGCAAGAGGGTTCAGTTATGGTGCATGTTCTGTAAATATATAAGGTAAAGGTTAATAAAGATCATAAACTGTGGGAGTGGACTCTGCAGAAATTTGTACTGCTTTTATTGAGGCAATTACATGCATGGCTGTTCTTCTGTGGATAAGGCAAGGAACAGGCCGTGAGAATATGTTGTCTTTTGTGTTATCTCAAATACAATTGATTTTCATATCAAGCAAATTAGTCATGGACTGATCCACATGGCACCAGTGACAAGAGTGGGCTGATAACCCACACAGCTGAGGGCACTGAAATACCTGCCCATGACTACATTAAATGGAAGGATGAGCAAAGAAGCTTCACTGAATGCAGCAATGATAAATATTTTAACATTGTAATGGTGTGGGAAGACACAAAACATGAAAGGGAAGATATTTATTTCTACCTGGTATAAAAGTTTAAGACAGGCAAAGTGCTAACAACTTCAGCTCTTAGCATGATTATCAACTGAAGTCGTTATGTGAATGTCTAAATATATACATGTATTCTTATCTGCATATTTGAGTATATCTATCTGAAAATGATCAGCAAAGGTGCTACAAACTGTGTCAAATATTAGAATGTTTTGCTACTGTAGTAAGAAATCTTTTCTAATGCGTGCCTTTGTAAGTGGTGAGTGTTGTTATACTTTAAATCCTCATCTGTCATTAAATAGAAGGTGAATGAGTAATGTGGGAAAGCAGGAACAGAGAAAGCAAACACAGGGAGCTAGTCCAGACAAACAGAGCGCTGCTGGGATTGACTAAGAGGGGGAAGCTGTGTTTAAAAAGGAAAAATGTGATTACTTCTGTTTGTAAGAACTGCATTTACCCACCCAATATTGGCTGTATAGTTTAATGGTCTGAGTGCTCCAAGCGCTTGCTGTTTGCCAGAGCAGTTCCCAGAGCAGGGGCTGGTCTAGCCAGGGTAGTCACAGCTCCAGGGACTATTCTGGTGACTTCCATAGCACACCGGGCCAAAATTGAGGAAATTTTAATTTCTAGTAGTTGTTTCTTTTCTTATAGCTACTAGCTATGTCTGCAAACAGCAAGCCAAGCTCTTAAATTAAGTAATTTTTGCACTTCAGAGGTATTTTAGAGTGTGTAAGGTTGCTGTAACCTTTATTTGGGCTTCATTGCTATTAAATAGAAATAATTAATATTAAAGTTTCCCAGGTATTACCCTGGCAGAGAATCTTAGGCTTTTAAGGATCATGATCTTGCAATACTTCAGTGTGAATTTCTCAGTGTGAATGTTTCATTTCAGTGAGGAAAGGTGCTTCTAGCCAAAATGCTTATTTTGCAATGGTCAGAATATCTTCAATGATAAAGGGGGCAGGGGAGGGGCAAGAGGGGACAGGGTGAGCAGGGAACATTTAATTCTGGTCAACTTCTGTGGCTCTGCTATTTCTCAGAGATTTGTAACCTGGCTGAGTTGTTAGTGTTTGTCCCAAATGAAAGCCAGGGTTGTTTTACTATCTGCAGGTGTTAAAGAAATGCTTCAGTGAGGGTATGGTTGCCTTGTGTGAAAGGCTGACCTTAAACTAATGGGGCAACTTTTATCAATTTCCTTTCCTTCTGGTCCCCAAGATTCCTAAGGACTGAGTGTTGCTGCACCTGTAGGATCCCTCTGAGGGGGAATATTTATTGTTCTGTGGTGTGCTCAGGTCTCTCCTTTTATCCTTTGCTAAGCTCCTGCTCAAGGCAGCTTGGAGTTCAGGTTGGAAACGCACATGGGAGAGGAGACTCGTGGAAAGGAGAGGAGGGGGGTTGTTTTCTGTGTTATGGGAACTAAGACATCGTATTTACCTGTGGAAACACAGCATAAAATGTTACTTCTTGTCTGCTGAGGATTTGCTTCAAACCTGTGGGTTGTGGATTACCTTTCAAGGGTCTGTGGAAAGTAACCAGGGGAGACAACCCTGTTTTCAGGCTTGAGTTCTATTTGAAAGGTTTCAGTCAGCAACTTGAGAAATATTAAAATAACAGGTTTGTGAACTTGTTGTTTTTCTTCCCAGAAACCTCTCTCTGCACCTGGGATCCAAATGACCCCAGTGATAATTCTGGGAGTATCAAAAAACACCTCTGAAAAGCACTCTCCTTGCCTTCCATCGTAAATTATCTTGCAATCAAGAAATGATCAAAACAGGTATCTTTGCCTTGGTGTAGGAGGAGCTGATCTCTGTGTCAGCTTCAGTTAGTGAAGAATTTTTGGGTTTGCCCTGTACATTTCCTTTTGTATGAAGCAACCAAGGCAAAAGCATTACAGGTGGATCAATTTGCTGCATGCAGGAGGTGCCTTCCATTGCTCCTTCACCTAACCTTTGTTTCCTGTGAGAAATTTTGGTGGATTGTAGCTTACACCATATCTTGCCTGTTTTGCCCAGGACATTTGTAGCAGTGGGAGGATCTGGGGCCATATTACCTAATTTCTGTAAGAAAACAGAAAGGGAATGTAGAAAGGTGAACAGAATTTAAAATTTAAGAATTACACACAAAGAAAATGGCAACCTGTTCAGCTGCTTGGCTGTTTATTTGCAATGGCTAGGAGAAATTTGGGACTTAATCCCTTTTTATTGCTTTTTTGTGAGAAAGCCTCTTCATTTTCCTAGGAGTGTACAGAAGTCTCTTTTGGTAAGCTGAGAAGCACCAGTCCCTGTTTACTTCGTAGTAATGGACCATGTAAGCATTACATAAGTTAATAAACACGTGTGATGAGAGATCAGATATGTCTATTTCCCCCTAACCAGCTTATTTAAGTATAGGTTTGATCAGGAAATGCAAATCCTCCTGGGTCTGTAATCCCAGGACAGTATTGGAGAAGATGCTGAGCTGTGGGAGCAGGAGCCCTTCAGAAGGGCTGATGCCCCTTCTGTGTAAAAGCCACCTGCAAAGCCATTGTGGTCTCTGAAGACCTTGGAGTCAGTTTTCCAGTGGTTTCATCCAGAGTGGGTTTTTTTAAATTGCTTTGTTAGTTTTGCCTGGGGAGCTCTGATGAAAGCTGTGGGTTTGTCACTAGGAAGGTGATAGGTCAGTTCTCCAGATAAGCACTGCAGCTGAGTTTGATACAGCAGTTCTTAGACAGGCACTGCAGTTCCATTGAAAGCTGTTACTTCTCCCGTTTCACTCCCGTTTTGTGCTTCCATCTTTTTGATTGTTCTGATGTGTTGGGTCATCTTTATCTGCGTGCTTCGTGAGCTGTTATCCGCATCTGTCGGATCAGGGATGACACAGAATATGAACAGTTTGCATCTTAAGCTGATGCTGAGGCTGCTGCAGCCCTTGTCTGAGCAGTGACAAGCCTAAATCCCGGGAATGTGGCAGAGAAAGCCACTTACAGTCGAGGCTGTAAGGATAGAAAGTCAGCAACAGTGGCTTTTCTCAGTATGCTTTCCCCACAGATTTCTTTTTAAGTTCTGCTTGTGCGTATAAGAAATATAAGTAATGTTTGTACAAAGTTCTCTATAATGAGAATGCTGTTGTAATTAGGCTCAAAAGTCTAAGACTAAAGAGCTGAACTGATCTCCACAAAGAGGAACTACAGTTGCTTTGTATTTTGCCCTATAAAAGGATGCATATCCTTTTTCTTAGATCTGATATCACCCTCCCTGCCCCAAATGGGTTCCAGTTAATGCTGAAGTGTGTTTACATGAGCTATGAATCCTCTTTTATGATATATTAAACTGCACTTCAGACCTCAGTGGTTATACAAAGCAGGCACTCCAAGGCATGGTGGATTGGTTTTTGGGTTTTTTTTTTGAGGCTCTGGAGTTGAATTTTGAGGCTTTGAAATTGTCCTTGGCATGAAGAACTCCTGTGTATGCTTCGTAGGAGAAAGTAGTTGATCTTACTGGAGATTTGTCTGAATTCTACAACCCAGGCATCTGCTTTTGTATAATATGTAGAGATGTGGAAAATAATAACACACTTCCTGTGGAAAGTGTTTGACTTACCACCCCCAACATGGGAAGCAAATAGGAAGCCTGTGCACCAAAATTTCATATTCAGATGAGGCAACAATATTTCTTTGTGAAAAACTACCCATTAATATGTGTTATCCAGCACTTCCAACTGGAATGTGCTTGTGAAATTCCAGTGACTTCTTAAAGGTTGTGACTTAACCCAACTGAACTATCCCAGCTTTTGTCTCCTGGCGCTGGGTCCCATGGCTGTTACCCCATAGTTTGCTTTAGGAGAGCTCAGATCTCTTTGTGCTTCGTCTCCTTGGCTGGAGCTGGGCTCTGGGCTGGGCCCATGGTGTGGATCACTGTCTTGGAGTCTGACAAGGCCCTATGGAGTGCAAGTGCAAAAGGAAGATGACAGTAGTGGAAAGCAGACTGTTCTTTTCTGATCTGCCATCAGTGTTGGGCCATGTGTTGCTTTGTACAGACCACAGTGCTTTGCACTTTTCCCCCT